GGGGCCTCATGGATGATGGATGTTTGGTGAGATCTCGCGGTTGGCCTGTCGGAGGCCTTAGAGGCAGTTTTGAAGTCTCTTCGGGTTCTAGTGGAGCCTCTCGGGATCTCGTTTGGGCCTCTTTGGGGCCTCCTGGTGGTATCTTGGGGGCCTCCCTGGTGATGCTGGTCGGCCTCTTAGGGGCCTCCCTGGTGATGCTGGGCGCTCTTGGGGCCTCTTGGGGCCCTCTTGGGGCCTCCTGGGGCCTCTTGGGGCGGAAGGCTTTGATTTCAGATTCGGGGTCTCGTGCCCCAGGAGAGGCGCAATATATAGCAACAGATGTACATAAAACATTGCGGATTAGAGCCACAGGAGAAGGGCAATCTATAGGAACCCGCGTAAAACACCAAGGACTCGTGCCCCAGGAGAGGCCCAATATATAGGAACATGAGTACAACATGTAGGATTGTGTTCACAGGAGAAGGCAATCTATAGAAATAGAAACAAACGTACAACATCAAAGAATCGTGCTCCAGGTGAGGCCCAATCGATAGGAGCATACGTAAAACACATGGGATTGGAGCCACTCCTGTTGCCTTCTGAGGCCTCCTGCTCATGGGGCCTCTCGGGCCTCCTGTTGCCTTCCGAGGCCTCCTGGCGCTTCCTGTTGCCTCCTGGGGCCTCCTGTGGTTTCCTGAGGCCTTCTGGAGCTTCCTGGGGCCTCCTGGAGCCTCTTGGGACATCCTGTGGCCTCTTGAGTCTTTCTGTGGCCTCCTGATGCCTCCTGGGACCTCATGTGGTCTCCTGGGGCCTCCTGGAGCCTGTTGGAGCCTCCTGTGGCATCCTGAGAAGAATCTGCGCCCACGAGCCTGGCCACCAAAACAAGCAAACCGATCGAGACATCCTCAACATCTGGCCCACCTGGGGGGTGAAAATGAGTGCCTCGCTCGAGACATCCTCCAAATCTGCTCCGAAAACAAAGGATGCTGGCACAGAAAACATGCAAACCGCTTGAGACATCCCCACAAAATCCCGCGAAAGGGGCCGAGTGCAATACTCCCCCGCCGCTCCCCTTAGGAACGTGAAAATGAGCGCCTCGCTCGAGAAATCACCCATCCGCCGCTCCCTTTAGGAACGTGAAAATGAGCGCCTCGCTCGAGACATCCTCCAAATCTGCTCCGAAAGCGAAGGATGTTGGGACAGAAAACAAGCAAACCGCTCGAGACGTCCCAACAAAATTTCGCGAACGAGACCCCGTGCAATTCCCCCCGCCGCTTCCATTAGAGTGCTGAGACGAGCGAATCGCCTGAGACATCCTCAACATCAGTGTGTGTGTGAGTCATCCGATGAGTGGACCTGAGTGAGTGTAGTGAATGTATGAGTACAAGTACGAGTGAGTCTGAGTGATGAGTGAGTCTGAGTGATGAGTGAGTCTGAGTGAGGAGTGATGAGTCTGAGTCATGACTGAGTCCGAGTGATGAGTGAGTCTGAGTGATGAGTGAGCCAGAGGAGGTGAGGGTGTTCCTGTCTTCCCCCGGCGCGGTCTGCCAAGTACTCGACGCGGGGCTCCCCATATGTGCATCTCATTCTCTTGGTACGTCTTTCTTTGATATCTGTCAATGAGCGCCTGTGTGCGAGGGCGAACCGCTCGCTCGAAACATTCCCACAGTCTGCAAGCATGAGTGCGACCAATAGCAAATCTGAGAGCGACTGATTCTGAGTGTGAGTTAATCTGGGTGCGATTGAGCCTGGGTTTGAGTGGGTATGCGTGTGAGTAAATATGAGCGCGAGTGCGTCTGTGTGCGAGTGGGTCTGAGTATGGACGAATCTGAGTGTGAGCCAGTCTGTGATTGAGCGGATCGTAGCATGATGAGTCTGAGCATGAGTGAGTCTGGGCTTGAGTGGGTCTGAGTGTGAGAAAAAGTGTGTGTTAATGAATCTGAGTGCGAGTGAGCCGAGTGTGATTGGGTATGGATGTGAGGCAGTCTGAGTGTGAGTCGGTCTGCGTTTGAGCGGACCGAAGGATGATGAGTCTGAGCAGGAGCGAGTCTGAGTATGAGTGGTTCTGAGCGTGAGTCTGAGTGTGAGTAAGTTTAAGTATGGATATGAGCGAGTCTAAGTGCGAGTGAGCCTGCGTGTGACTGAGTCTGAGTATGAGTGAGTATGAATGCAAAAGAGTGAAGGAGAGCGGAGAGCGAAGGAGAGTGAGGCGGAAGCGTTTGAGTAAAACCTAAAGCCTAGGAACATCGAACCTCGATCGTCTGGCCCTGGCTACTCGAGTTGCCCACGTCCTCCTCCTCCTCCTCCTCCTCCTCCTCATCATCATCATCATCATCCTCATCCTCCCCTTTCTGCTTCTGCTCCTACCGTGTTCATGTTGTCCTCCTTCTCCTCCTCCTCCTCCTCTTCCTCCTCCTCCTCCTCCTCGCTTCCTCCTTCTCTTCCTCCTTCTCCTCCTCCTCCTCCTCCTCCTCTTCCTCCTCCTCCTCCTCCTCTTCCTCCTCCCCCTCCTCCTTGGGAGTGCTGAAACCAGCAAATCGCCTGAGACATCCTCCCAAAACAGCTCCGAAAACGACAGATGCCCAGCACCATAACGGCCAAGCCGCCTGAGACATCCCCGCAAACTGGGCGCGAACGTCCTCCAAATCTGCTCCTCCAATCTCCTCCGAACATGTTGGAAGAGAAAATGGCCAAACCGCCTGAGACATCCCCACACAATCCCGCAAAAGGGGCCGAGTGCAATGCCCCCCCGCCGCTCCCCTTAGGAGTGCTGACACCAGCGAATCGCTTGAGACATCCTCCAAATCTGTTCCGAAAGCAACACATGTTGGAAGAGAAAATGGCCAAACCGCTTCAGACATCCCCACAAAATCCCGCGAAAGGGGCCGAGTGAAATTCCCCCCGCCGCTCCCCTTAGAGTGCTGAAACCAGCGAATCGCTTGATACATCCTCCAAATCTGCTCCGAAAACGAAACATGTTGGAAGAGAAACTGGCCAAACCGCCTGGGACATCCCCACAAAATCCCGCGAAAGGGGCAGAGTGCAATACCCCTTCCGCCGCTCCCCTTAGGAGTGCTGGAACCAGCGAATCGCCTGAGACATCCTCCGAATCTTCTCCGAAAGCGAAACCGGTTGGAAGAGAAAATGGCCGAACCGCTTGAGACATCCCCGCAAAATCCAGCGATAGGGGCCGAGTGCAATACCCCCCCGCCGCTCCCCTTAGGAGTGCTCACACCAGCGAATCGCTTGAGACATCCTCCAAATCTGTTCCGAAAACGAAACATGTTGGAGGAGAGAATGGCCAAGCCGCCTGAGACATCCCCACAAAATCCCGCGAAAGGGGCCGAGTGCAATACCCCCCCGCCGCTCCCATTAGGAGTGCTGGAACCAGCGAATCGCCTGAGACATCCTCCAAATCTGCTCCGAAATCGAAACCTGCTGGAAGAGAAAATGGCCAAAACGCTTGAGACATCCCTACAAAATTCCGCGAACGGGACCTCGTGAAATACCCCCCGCCGCCCCCTTTAGAGTGCTGAGACGAGCGAATCGCCTGATACATCCTCCAAATCTGTTCCGAAAGCAACACATGTTGGAAGAGAAAATGGCCAAACCGCCTGAGACATCCCCACAAAATTCCGCGAACGGGACCCCGTGAAATACCCCCCCGCCGCTTCCCTTAGGAGTGCTGAGACAACCGAATCGCCTGAGACATCCTCAACATCAGTGAGTGTGAGTCATCCGATGAGTGGGCCTGAATGAGTGTAGTGAATGTATGAGGACAAGTACGAGTGAGTCTGAGTGATGAGTGAGTCTGAGTGATGAGTGAGTCTGAGTGAGGAGTGATGAGTCTGGATCATGACTGAGTCCGAGTGATGAGTGAGTCTGAGTGATGAGTGAGTCTGGGTGATGAGTGGGTCTGAGTGATGGGTGAGTCTGAGTGATGAGTGAGTCTGAGTGATGAGTGAGTCTGCGTGATGAGTGAGTCTGAGTGGGTCTGAGTGAGAGGAGGTGAGGGTGTTCCTGTTCTCCTGTGTTCCTCCGGCGCGGTCTGCCAATAACAAGAACCCCATTTTTAGGATATGGGGAATAACAAGAACCCCATCTCTTTGGATATGGGGAAAAAGTCAACGAACATCAAGGATTTGGGCCGTTTGGTGCCCCCTTTGGGGGCCTCTTGGAGGCCTCTTGGGGCGTTTTGGCGCCCTCTTGGGCCGTCGTGGAGCCATCTTGGGCATCTCGGAGCGATCTTTGGGCGTCACGGGGCTCTGCTGGATCGTCTCAGCGACCTCTTGGGGCTCTGTTGGCCCGTGCTGGGGCCCTCGTGGGCCTGAAACAGTCACGCGACAAGACGCGGCAAGCACCAGGGGAACTGCGGCAAGCCCCAGAAGATTTGACAATATGGCGTCTGGGTCCCTTAAAGACTCCTCCAGACTGATGACTGAGGCTCAGGGGATTGGGCAAAGGACTTGAGGAAACGCCCACTCCGAGCCCAGGGTACGGTGGCGGACGTCGTGCTCCTCCAATCCGAACGTTTTTCGGTTTTTCCAAACGGTGTTCCCGCTTCAGCGTGGGCCTCATTTCAGGATCAGGGCGTTGCTCCAGTCGTTCAGACCGGCGCTCTCGCCCCAGCGCGGCCCACAATTCTGGACCCGAGTCCTTTTTTATCGCTGCCGCCCCCTCCGTTCCCCTTCTCCGCCGTTCCCTGGTCCTCCTGCTCCTCTTACTCCTTCTATTCCAGTTCTTGATGCTACTGTTCGTCCTCCTCCTTCCTCATGACCCGGTTATCCTGCTCATCCTCCTGCTCATCCGCGACCTCCTCCTCCTACGTACGCAGCTCCCCTTTTCCGATTGCGCGATACGGGTCTTTTGTGTAGACCCACGCCGGGTATGACACGCGTGCGCGGTTACAGAAGCACTCCGCGCAATGGGAAGGGAGGGTGGGTTGGGCAGCATGTCAGACATGGTGCAGCGCACCTAGCTCCCTGGTGCTCTTTCCTGCCCTCTCCCGCCACGGGGCTCAGGCCCAGCCGCGCTTCGGCCAGCGCCTCCACGAGCCCCGCCAGTCCCCTGGCCCGCGGCCCGGCGCGCAGGCGCGAACCCCCAGGGGGAGGGGGAAAAGGGGAGGAGGGAAAAAGCAAGAGGAGGCGAAGGAGGAGGAGGAGGAGGAGGAGGAGGAGGAGGAGGAGGAAGAGGAGGACGAGGAATCAACAGATGCGGCCATCACCATGCTGACCCATGACCGGGGAAAGGAAAACGGTCAGGAGGATGCGAGGTGGAAGCCTGGACGCTGGGGTGGAAGAGGAGGACGACAACGAGGGAACAGGAGGAAGGAGGGACAAGGAAGAAGCAGGGACGATGCCATGGAGGTGCTGGAGCGCGAGTGGGAGCCGCGGGTCTCCAGGTCTCGCGAGTACAACTCGACGGGCGCTCTTGCTTGTAATTTCGGCCCGGTCACCGGGAGGGGAGATGGTCAGGGGCGTCGAAGAAGGGGGTGGGTGGTCGTCAGGAGTGCGTGGATATCATGGCTGGAGCGATGAAATCTCAAAGGCCCCCCCGTCCGCCTCCCACCCGCCCCCTCGTCCGCGCACGCGCATCAGACCATGCTGCGCTAACCCCCCCTCTTCTTGGCCCCACCTCTTCGGCGCACCCGGATAGGACCGCAGTCGATGCTTCTCTTCGCGTGCGCGGAGCCTGCACACGCTTCACCTCCCCCCCCCCCCCCCTTCCCTGACATCCTCGCGCCTGGGCTCCTCGACCTCGCCCCTGGGCTCTCCCCCCCGTTTCCCCTCTGACCCCTCTCCTTCCTCCTCCCCCCCCCCCTCTCCCCCTTCCTCTGCCCCCCCTTCCCCTCCCTCCCCCTTCCTCCTGCTCCCCCCCCCCATCCCGTGTCCTCGCCCCCCCCCCGACGGAGAGCGGGGCGACGAAGACGGCGCCGGGCGCCCGCCGGGGGCCCGCTCGCCCGAGGCCGCGGCGGACGTGGCCGAGGGCTGCTCGGAGGGCGACGTGATCGCCAAGTTCCACCAGCTCCCCTGGCGGTCCGGCTCGCGGGGGGGGCGAGAGCTCAGACCTGGAGGGTTCCTTCGGAGGGCTTAGGCCACCCGTCCTCCTCCTCCTCCTCCTCCTCCCTCCTCCTCCTCCTCCTCCTCCTCCTCCTCTCCCTCCTCCTCCTCCTCCTCCTCCTCCTCCTCCTGCTCCTCCTCCTCCTCCCCCTCCTCCTCCTCCTCCTCCTCCTCCTCCTGCTCCTCCTCCTCCTCCTCCTTCTTCTCGGGTCGCCTACGCCCCCGGGAGAAACCGTGCACCCAAACCCCTCGGGTCATAAAAAAGTCGCGGCGGGAGGTGTTGCTTCATGTGGCCTCTGGGGGCCCCTCACCAGGACTTGGGACAGTCAGAACACGACTCGGGATGGACATCTGATCAACGGGAAAGGGTCGAGACCTCTGGGGATCGATGCTCTGAGCAAAAAACATGACAATCATGACGTCGAGGTCCTGGGAAGCCAGATGCCGTCGTTGCCGTCGCTGTCCCCAGACATCCCCGCATCGTGAATCAACCGCGACACAGGTTGTCCGGCCATTTTCGGGCTCGAGGGGCCCTCGCAGGGCTCTGAAAACCTTTCGTCCCCTGCGACGGGCGTCCGGACCTGTAGGGGGGCCACGTTGCGAACAGGTGACGGCGTCGGATGAGTGTTTGAATCGTCGCCGCCGTCGCCGCCGTCGTCGTCGTCGTTGTCGTAGCTGTCGGCGCTGTCGTCGTCGTCGTCGTCGTCGTCGTCGTCGTCGTCGTCGTCGTCGTCGTCGTCGTCACCAGCTCCCGCGACGGATCGGCTCGAGGGAGATCTCGGGCACGGCGCTTGGGGCGCCGTGGCAGGGGTGCAGGAGGGTATCCTGCTTCGTCTCCTCGGGATCAGCGAGTCGAATGTCCTTCGACACCTCCCGAGCAGGAGGGGGAGGAGGCGAGGGGATGGTGTGGGGAGGAGAAGAAGGAGGAGAAGAAGGAGGAGGAGAAGGAGGTGGAGGAGGAGGAGAATCAGAAGGAGAAGAAGGAGGAGGGGGAGGAGGAGAAGGAGGAGGAGGAGGGGAGTAGGAGGTGAGGAGAAGGATCAGCAAAAGGAGGAGACAGCGGAGGAGGAGGGTAAGCAGAGTAGAACAAAGTCGCACGCGCAGGTGAATTCACACGGGTTGCGAGAGAACACGCTACGCGAGAGTTCGCGATGCGAGGGCCGTCTCGCAAGTTCAAGGACGTGTCTTGGCACGTGCGCCTTTTCGACGCGTCCTATCGAGAATGAGGAGTATGGTCGGGTGAAAACGATGGTAATTGTTCCCTCCGTTCAGAGCAGCGTTCGACAGTTGCGCGTCCATTTAACAGCCCCCGAAGACAGGGACGAGACAAGGAGGATAGTTGGCGGCGCGCACAAGGGGGAGCGCGAGGGGGGAGGTCTTCTAAGAGGGCCCACCCGCCAAAAGAATCAAAAGGAAAAGCAGGGGAAGAGGAGGAGTTGGAGGAGGAGGGGAAAAGGAGGAGGTCCCAGGTCCTTCAAGCCCTGCCGCGGGTGCAGGCGGAAGTCCAGCGGGTCCAAGGCCTTGAACGATGACAGACCTGGTGTGTTGCTAATGGGCGCCAGGAGGAAGAGGAGCAAGACACCCAGAAGCCGAGCCTGTGAAGGCCCTCCTGCAGGGCCGCCTCCTCGGTAGTCCAGGGTACTTTTTGCATCGCAGAACTTCACAATAGCGCGAAAGAGTAGTCGAAGTGAAACTGTATATACAAACCTGCGCGAAACCTGTGCTTCCAATGCCGCCGCCGAGCTGATTCAGCTGCCTTTGCTTTGCGTTAAAGCTTGCCTTGGAAATACTTTGGAACGCGGCATTCACATGAATATCCTGGTTGAAGACATCATGTTGAGAATGCACCGCCTCAGTATTGCAGCGTGGCCTCGTTCGACTGGGTCAAACAGAGCTTCGGTGTGGCACTGGCAGATCGCATTGAGACCAAGAGTACCCTGGCACCCGGAGGCTGTCCGGAACAGGGTAGACAGGGCAGGAAGAGCCACGCCGGAAGCGGTTGCATGTAAGAGGCCTAGAACCGAAATGCCACAGCGCATGTCTAAAGGAGCTAGATGTGCATGCACAGTGCAGCATCCTTAGAAATGTCCGTGTCGTTCAAGAGCTCTTCTTGCAAGCTGTCCAGCTGCTGCGGGATGCCCCGCTCAGCGTGGCAAGTCGCCAGCGTGCCCCCCTCGACGCATGAGGGAGTGTGGCACTTGTGTCTTGTCCAGAAGGGCTCGCAGGCGCCACTTCCCATCTGTGACGATATGATTCACGGCCAGATACATCCAGTCGGCCCTGATTAGTAGGTCGACCCTGCCAAATCAAGGGTACCCTTAGGTACCCTTGTGTCCTGTGCCTCGCGACCCATGCCTCCTACATCCACCATGGCAACGTGGCCCTTGGAAGGATATTGTGTCCTCTCGCTTGTCCTGTCTAATCAAGGCCGACTGTATTTCAACGAGGCGGATCCAGTATGACGCCCAAGATTTTGAACGGGTCGCCGTGGGATCCGATGCGTCGAGGATGTGAGTGTTTTTCTGGTCAGTTCAAAACCATGTGGTCAGCGCCACCCTGAGCGTGAAGTGCCGCTTGACATTCGGACGCCTTGGTGAGCGACGTGCGAGCGAGCTGTGCGCGAAAGGCGCACTAACAGTTCAACTCATCCGCGAAAAAGGCATGGATGAAGTCGTGCTGCAGAATAGCGCCACGAGCAGCCACATAGTAGACGTTCCGAAAGTAGAGCGCCAAAGTCAGTGCCTTGAAATACTACGTCGTGCAGCTCGACAGTGTCAGACAGGGCACCGTCCACCACGACGTGAGCAGTCTTGGGATCAGGCCACGATGAGAGTACAGGGGCGCATGCACGGTGGATGCCTTTCGCTTTCAACTTGTCGACCAAGTGGTCCGCTCTCACACGGTTGAAGGCGCCAGACATGTCCGAGCAGTCCACGACAACGCGCTTGCCACGACCAATCTCCCAAAGCCAACTGCAGACGCCATACGCCAGAGCGTCCTTGTGGCCTCTGCCGCGGTGGTAAGCGAATTGATGGTCTGCGTACGCAATGGCGGCCTCCAAAATGGTGGCAATATCGACGCAAAAACCCTCTCCATAGACTTGGCCGCGTACGAGGTCAAGAGGATGCCCCAGTAGTTGTCAGCATGGTTTTTGCTCGTTCGCTTGTCTGCGGGAGCAGTCAGTGAATCCTCCACCCCGCAGGCCATACCCCGCTGCAAAGGATGATGCCAGAAATAGTCGCCAAGGGCACCGATAATTGCGAAGCGCATTGCTTCAGGAGCCTGGCAGGGACAGGGTCAAGCCCAGTGCCGCCGGCGTCTCAGCGCACTCGTTTCAGAACTCTCAGAACGGATCTGGCGTGGATATGTGCGAAGCCATGTATTATTCGGTCACCGTCCGATTGCAAGTCCGAAAGTCAAGCTGTGGCGAACGGATGGCCGGCCCGTAGCATGAGCGTTGAATAAGCCCCTCCCCTGCAGTTCTTGGACGAAGGTTGTAGAACAAGAATACGTTACAAATCATTCGAGCAGAGCCGGAGTGTGTTGGCGTCTTTCGGGGTTCCCGTCGCGTGCACCTTGTCGTCGATGAGCTGTGCAGCCACGGGCGGAAAGACTCCCGAAAGGAACTCAGCCGCGTTGTTGACAACAGTAGTCCAGCAGACTTGGCAGCCGCATCATCGGCAACACAATTTCCGAAGGCAATGCGCCAATACATACTCCAGAAAACGTCTTCTGATAGAGGCCCAACCGTCCGCATTGTACATCCAATGCTCTCTGCTGATCGGCTCCGAAAGGATCACGCGAAACGCCAGCGTAGCAATGACGGTGTCTTGGTCGCTGATGCCCAGCACCACCTGGCAAGTTACGTTGGAGAAGAGGACCAACAGATCTTTGCCGCGAGTGGGCCGTCCAACCTTCTCACCCAAGCCTCACCTGCCGCACGTGGCCTGCAGCTCCTTCCCCTCGGTCGAATTCCCGTGCGAGTGCTGGAGCCACCGCTTCTTGTGGACGTTCATGTCGCCACCTCCCACATCATCAATCGCAAGATTTTCTAGCGTCCCCCATGTGGCATCCAGGGCACGTATCGAAGAATTTTCGCCACCACGTACGAGGGGGCCGAAACCACACAGCAAGGACAAGTTGACCATGATGCGTGTGGGCAATTTGCCAGGGCCTCACATAATCGTCAGGATCAGGAACATGAACAGCACTTGATGCACAATTCTGTCTTGGAAATGCTAGTATGCCTCCTCCTCCTCCTTTTCTCCCGTCCCTACGGTCGAGGCGAGAATGAAGGTAGTACCCGTCAGGAAAACATGGCGAGCAGATTGGTCCAGGAAGCTCTTCATACTTTCAAGTAGGTTTGGCCGCGCTAGTTGCTCAATTCGGTGGTGAAGGTCAGCACTGTTAGTCAAGCATCCGCGCACGTTGACGCGCATGATGGTGGAACCTGCGCCCGAAGCTGGCGACTCAAGGTCGCATGTGTTCAAGCTTTCTCCAAGAGAGCGTTGGACACCCGAACTGGTATTCCACAGGCGGAGCCTGTGCTGTGGGGCATGCCGTGAACGAGGACCTCGGCGACGTAGTCGTCGGGTTGCCAGCTGCTGGGGCTGCTCATCTGCCACGGAGTGGCGGGCGGACCTGTGAACATCATGTTGTCGTGTGGAAAAATATATTATCTCAACAAGCGGCCCTGTGCCACCCCCGCGGTATGGACAACCCGGAATCACGGAGACAGGAAGGTTCTTCTGAGGTCGTCCTGGCTTTGAACTCCTTGTTCGCCACCAAGTACCGCTCGCGAGAACCGTCCACCTTTCACAAGGTCTCTGCGGTCTTGCCTGAGGACGCTGCCGACTCTTTGATCAAGCTCTCCGCTTTCCTGAGTGCGTAGTTCCGCTTCCTCTGGTTCTGCGCGCGGGTGGGCTTCACCAACAGCACGTTGCCCTCTCTTTTAAGACTTACCTTGGAAGCCTGAGCTTGGGACAACAACGGTTTATCAAAGTCAGGGCTACAGAATTCGGCCCACGATCCCTTGGACACAGTCTCGTTTTTGGCGGGGCCTGTGAAATCGCTACCGAAACTGACCGGGCGGAACGAGGAGCATGCGTTTCCTGGAGTTTTTCCATCTCCTGGATCTTGGTGTCCTCTGAGACCCCCTCCGGCCAGAGCTCCTTGAATTCCAGCGTAGAAGAGGAAGGAGGCGAGGCTGAAGAAGGCTTGTCTTGAGGGTGGCCACGCGGGGGCCGAGGTCGTGGACGAGACCTTGGATGGGGTCACAGCTTCCAACGCAGACGTCCTGATCTCCGCCCTGAGGGTGGAAGTGAGCTCCTCCGTGTCGCTCTTCAGGGCCATCTTGTCAATCTTGTCCGACAGGGCGCTGGTGGGCTGCAGGATAGCAAGGTTGCCGTCGTCGCCGCTGGAAGCTGCCCCCAGGGAGCTGGAGGTAGCTGCCACTGTTTCGGCCATGCTTTCGATCGTCTCGAGTTTGGCCTTTCTAGAAGGGACTGGGACGGCTCCCGCTTGCCTGCTTTCGCGAACGCCTCCTGAAGGCTTTTCGTTCCTTCGTTCATGTCGGATTCCAGCGCGCCGAGAAGGGTGCTTGCGGATTGGAATTTCTGGACTCGGGTCTTTTGCCACCGCCCTGCTTTTCCCCGACCTGCCTACCGCCGCTGGCGGACCCACCGCCGTTTCATTTCCGCCAGCCTTCCGCCGCTTTCCGCCGAAGGCACCTTTCCCTCCTCCTCTTCCTCCTCTTCCTCCTCCTCCGCCTGCTCCTCCTCTTCTGGAACGCCGCATGGCCGCAAGTGCCCAGTCAAGTTTTCACCTATTTGGGAGGGTCTCGAATGTTTTCGGAGGTTTGCGGGGAGGGGGCGGAGGAGTGGGCTCGGACGGCACTCCGAGTGGGATAGCCCGAGGGTTCACGCTCGGAGCGAGGATCGGGAGAGGAGGCGGGGTCCAGATGAGGCAGAGGCCTCCCCCCCGCCTCATCTCTTCTCCGGCCTTCGCCCTCCTTCCTCCTCCCTCCCTCCCTTCCTCATTTTCATCTCCCTCCCCTCCTCCTGCCCAGCTCCCGATCCTGCTGCTGCTCCTCCTCGTCCAACCTCCACCGCTCCCCGTCTCCCACCCCCGTGCGTGCCCCCGCGGCGCCCCAGGTCAGGCACCCTCTCCAACCAGCAGTGGGCCTCCAGTCTGCGGATGTACAAGCAGGCCAGGCGCGGGGGCACGCATGGGAGGTGCAGCAGGGAGGGGAGACGGGATGGGGGGGAAGAAGGAGGGAGGGGAGGCACGAGGAGGCATGCTTCTGCCATCGCGAAGACGCCCAGCAGCAGGGTGAGGAAACGACAGAAAGGGGGGGGGGGGAGGGGACAGCGGGAAGGGCCAGCAGCACGGCGGTCGCGACGCCTCCCCCCGAGCGGTTCCGGGGCGAGAGCCTCCCGGCTCTCAGTCAGGGTCGCCCGGCCGTTCCTGCAGGCGAGAGCGCAGGGGCCGACCGCCGCTCGGCCTCACGGCCGCCAGCGCGCTCCGAGGAGGCACAAGTCAGGAGGAAAAGAAACACACAGACACAATGAATCGTCGATCCCCCAGAAAATATGGGAAAATATGGGAAGTGGGGGGGAAGACAGAAACCCAGAAAATATGTGAAAATATGGGGAATAATTTTATTTGTGTGTATTTATTTGTGTGTCCTGGGGCCCCTTCAACAAGGAGGCACAGGGGGGGAATGGGAGAGGAGGGAAAGGGACGGGCCCCTAAGATGTGAATCGGATCTCGGCCGCCGCTGCCGGACGGCGACGCGCTCCTGGATGCCCTGTACCCCTCCATGCAGGGCTGAGCGTCGAGCGACGGATCCGCAACGCCTGGCTCGGCGGCGAACTTGCAGCTCAGACAGAGAGGCTGCAGCGCTACGGAGAGGGTGTGCGGGGCGCGTGCACGCTCGAGGCATGCTCCCCCGCTGCTCCTCTCCTCGCCCCCGGACCTCCGACGAGCTGCTCGTTTGGCAGAGCGGGTCCCGGAGACCTTGAGCTGTTCCTCTCGTCGCGGGCACCCTCGTGGAGGGCCCCCGCGCGGCTCGGGGCGGGCCCGCGGAGGCCCCGGCCGCCAGACGCGCAAGAGCACGGCCGTGGCCTCTCCTCGCGGCGCCGTCCGAGGCCTGCGCTCTTGCCCGCCCCCCGCCCCCCCCCCCCCCCCCCCCCCGGCAAGAGCCTGGCCAGGACCTGCTGGCCCAGCAGGGGGGGCACAGTGTAGGACAGGGAGAAGAAGGGTGCAGGGAAGGAAATCTGCTACCTGCAGCTGGTTTCGGCCCCGCCGCCGGGCCCATTCCTCGATACGTAGGTGCCTCCCAGCGCCGGGAGGCGGCAGAAAAACCAGCCACGTGAGGTGATTCTCTACCCTACCCTTTGCTATCCTACCCTTGCGTACCCGCTGGAGGAGGAGGGGGATTGGGGAAAGAGCAGGAGGACGAGGGGGATGGTTGGGAAGGGGGGGGACAGGAGACGGACGAGGGGGCAGGGCCCAGGTCTCCGACGTCTTGAGCTCTTTCGAGGCTCCCAGAAACAAACGGCCGCCGCGATTTGCCGAGTCGCCAGAGCCCTGACGGAGAATGCGTGGGCGGATGAGGAGAGAGGAGCTCGGATAAGGAGGAGCGAAGACTGAGGGGGGCAGCGAGGAGCGATGAGGAGGGTAAGCATCAGGTATCCCCGCGCCGCCGACAGGGCCAGACTGCCCAACGCCCCTGGAGGCTCCCAGAGACCAGAGGAAGTCAAAAGCAGCTCGAAACCTTCAGACGCTATCCGAAAACATATGACACCACATGCCCAAACATCACCGGACCCCAGATCCGCGAGGGCCGAGGAGAAGAAGCGACGTTGCTCCGGGGCCTGGCCGTGGCGTGGTTCTCCGTTCAGGCACGGCCGCCTGTCGACCTGGACTTCCGGAGCCTCGGGGTGTTCGAGCAGCAGGCAGGGCGAGGAGGAGCGAGGCGGAGGCAGGGAGCCGGGAGCGAGGCGAGGAGCCAGGAGGAGGAGGAGAGAGGAGAGAGGAGGAGGAGGAGGAGGAGGAGGAGGAGGAGGAGGAGGAGGAGAAAGGACGACGACGACGACGACGACGACGAAGGCCCCCCGAGCCGAGGCCCGCTCCCCCTCCCCGGGCCGCTCCGGCGAGTTCGGCGGCGAGCCGGGCAGCGCCCTCGCGGCCGTCCGCGCGCCGCGCTTCCGCTCGCCGCCGCCGGGCCCATCGGCCTTCGGCGATGCCCCGCCGGAGCTCCGAGGAGGAGGGAGGAGGAGGAGGAGGAGGAGGAGGAGGAGGAGGAGGAGGAGGAGAAGGAGAGAGGAGGAGGCGGAGGAGGAGGAGGGAGGAGAGGGGAGGGGGGGAGGAGGAGGAGGAGGAGGAGAGGGGGAGGAGGAGGCGGAGGAGAGGAGGAGGAGGAGGAGGAGAGGAGGAGGAGGTGCCTATGCCGCTACCTCGGCCTCCTCCTTCCTCCTCGCCCTCCCATTTCGCTCCTCTTTCCTGGCCCCTCCGACTCCGTCCCAGCGTTGGTTCAAGGATGGGGTCCTGAGGGATGGGGTCCTGGGGACGAAGTGCATCAACAACAACTTAACTCCACCCTTGGATCCCTTCCTATCCTCAGGCTGGGTAGTCGAATGCCACCCGGCCAGATTGGATTGCCGACGTGGCATCAGAATTCCAATCCGGCGCCAATCCGGCGCAGCCCAATATGGTGCTGGCCTTGTCTTCGATACGAGTCTCTTGCCCGCCGTCTCATGTCGTGCGTATGGTGTGCGGCACCCCTTGTGGTGTCGAGAAAGAGCCACTCCTGCCACGATCTGCGAGCGTGTCACGGATAGAGTCCGCGCTGAGGGACCACCCTTTGCGCACCCCCTGTGGTGTCGAGAAAGTGCCACTCCTGCCACGATCTGCGAGCGCGTCACGGATAGAGGCCGCGCTGGGGGACCACCCTCTGCGCACCCCCTGTGGTGTCGAGAAAGTGCCACTCCTGCCACGATCTGCGAGCGTGTCACGGATAGAGGCCGCGCTGAGGGACCACCCTCTGCGCACCCCCTGTGGTGTCGAGAAAGTGCCACTCCTGCCACGATCTGCGAGCGTGTCACGGATAGAGGCCGCGCTGAGGGACCACCCTTTGCGCACCCCCTGTGGTGTCGAGAAAGTGCCACTCCTGCCACGATCTGCGAGCGTGTCACGGATAGAGGCCGCGCTGAGGGACCACCCTCTGCGCACCCCCTGTGGTGTCGAGAAAGTGCCACTCCTGCCACGATCTGCGAGCGTGTCACGGATAGAGGCCGCGCTGTGGGACCACCTTGTGCGCACTCCCTGTGGCGTCGAGAAAGTGCCACTCCTGCCACGATCTGCGAGCGTGTCAAGGATAGAGGCCGCGCTGAGGGACCACCCTCTGCGCACCCCCTGTTGTGTCGACAAAGTATTACTCCTGCCACGATCTGCGAGCGTGTCACGGATAGAGGCCGCGCTGAGGGACCACCCTCTGCGCACCCCCTGTGGTGTCGAGAAAGTGCCACTGCCTGTGTTGTCTGTGCTGCGGTGTGCTGTGCTCTGCTTTGCTGGGATGTGCTGTGATGTGCTGTGCTGTGTGCTGAGCTGTGCTGTGCTGTGCTGAGCTGAGCTGTGCTGTGCTGTGCGGTGCTGTGTTGTGAGGAGGGGAGGAGGGAGGAGGGGATGAGTGAGGTGTGAGGCTCGCGGGTGTGGCGCGGCAAAGAAGAAAACCATAACCCCACGAAACATGTGGGGGAAAACGCTATGCGGTGACATTTGTTTCTAACATCGCAGTTTTTCAGGAATCCCTTGTACATAACACCATAAGATGCACATGCGCGCGGCCGCCGCGCGCATGTCGAACTCCTTCTAAACACATTTGGATTTTAACAATTTCAAGATCGGATGTCAATAATTCATTGTACCAAAATGTTTTTTCACCCAAGGACTTTGGAAATTCTGCCCGCGCGCTCTTACCGAACCTTTCAAAAACCTATGGTTTTTCAACATTCCTGTCACATGGGCCTTCACGGGCCACTTTCGCTCGCACGTCGAACTAACTCAACAACCTCTGCGCGCTTGCCAGACGCGCCATCCCTTGTACATAATACCATAAGGCGCACATGCGCGAGGCCTCCGCGCGCGCATGCCGCAATCCCCCCCAACCCAATGTGATGTCAACAGTTTCAACATCGGACTTCAAGAATTCATTGGACATAATACCACTTGCGCATTGGAAAATTCTGGATATCCGTTCGCGCGCGCTTGCATAATCATTCAAAAACCAATGGTGATTGAACATTCATGTCACGCGGGGCTTCGCGGGCAACTTCTCGCGCCCACGCCGAGCTCATTCAACAACTCCCGCGCGTGTGCCAGAGGCACAATCCCAGTCAAATAATACCATGCGGGGCACATGCGCGCGGCCGCGCGCATCGTCGTCGTCGTCGTCGTCGTCGTCGTCGTCGTCGTCGTCGTCGTCGTCGTCGTCGTCATCTTCCCCGTTGTCGTCGTCGTCGTTGTCGTCGTCGTCGCCGTCCCCCTCGTCGTCGTCGTCGTAGCCGTCGTTGTAGTCGTCGTCGCCGTCGTCGCTGTCGTCGATGGATAATCGCAGTCACGGCTTGAAGAGGTCTTGCGACCAAGTTGCGGGTGGGTGGGTGGGATGTTTGCACGAGCAGTGGAGTGGCCAACTCAATTAAGGGCAAGTCAGCTCTACCCCATAGGCTCTACCCCATAGGCCTACCCTAGGCTACCCTTTGGCCGACCCCTAGGCCCACCGCAGGTCTGCCCTATGCCCTACCCCCAGGCCTACCCATAGGCCCTACCCTGAGGCCTACCCGATGCCCTACCCCTAGGCTTGCCCTAGGCCTACTATCGGTTTTATCCCTAGGCGTGTCCTGGGGCTGGCTGTCCCGCACGGAGCGTGTAGCAGGTTGGTTGCGTTTGGCGTTGCGATGCGATTTGACTGGTGATTTTTTTCTCTGGGCTGACAGTCTGTGGCTTCCCAGCCAGGGCCCCTTCCTTCAGGGCCTCATCTTTGAACTACCCACGCTGCTCCGCCTCGTCTTCGCCGCCTTGGGCCTCCAGGGAGGCCCTCGTCGCCACCGCTGGCTTCGCCTCATAATCCTCGTCAGGACGCACCCAAGGATAGATCCGAGGAGTAGCGGTACCAGTGCTTTTTGCTACCCCAGGAGCTGCCGGGGAGGAAGCGGCCGCTTGCGCACGCGGAGGCCGCGCCGTGCCCGCGAGGGGGGGCCCTGGTTGGAGGAGAGCGAATTGCGGCAGCGGTGATTCACCATCGGGGGAGCCCTCGCCGCCACGTGTGGACGCAGCTCGGACAACTGGAGCGTTTGCATCCAGTGGTGGGCCTGTTTTCCAGTACCACCACCATAAGTTGGAGGGGGGAAGGAGGTGGAGGACGAGGAGGAGGAGGAGGAGGAGCTGGTGGAGGAGGAGGAGGAGGAGGACCCCCTCCCCCTTCAACTTATGGTGGTGGTGGTGGAAAACAGGCCCATCATCCAGGGGGTGGCCTGGGCACCGATTTTGAGTGGGCGTGGTGTCGAGCCGCCCTCCTCCGACTCCGGGGGGAGGAGTGCTTGCCAGGGGCCTGTCGGAGACAGCTCGGTGGCCTTTCGCAGGCCCTCCCTCTCGTGGGCCGCCTTTTCGGGAGCATCTCGGAGGCCTCCGGGCACGCTCTCGGAGGCCCTCGGGGGTCGTTCCTGGAGACCCTCAGGGGCCTGTCGGGGACGCGCTTTGACTGCTTTCGGAGGCCTTCGGGCGCCTTCGGAAGCCTTCGGAGGCATTTGTTGGCTTTGCGGGGCCTTCGGAAGTCGGAGGGTGGAGGCAGAGCCCAATCGACATAGAGTTCTGAAACTTTACTCTTTGACTTTGCGTTGGGCGGGCAGGGCACCACAAGGACATGCGGTGCCCGATTCGATTGTCACAGCATCTTGATGCTCGATCATTCGAGTTCTGCTGCTGTCTGCGGCTCAAGCAGGCTCGAGAGCCAACCAGGGGAACTAGCCTTGGCGATGTATGTGTTCTGCATCTTGGCATTCCAGCGCTAAACAAGTGGAAGTTTGGCCGTATGACAATACCAAAGTAAGCATCGCATGTGTGTTCTCGAAGACGCCTACGGCGAATCACCGCCGCGCCATGCCTGTTGGAATCGCCCATGTGGCCGAGCGTTGATGTCTGCCAAGCTGTCGGACCCTGTGTTCCCCCAGCCGTTGTGGAACCCCTACACTTGGGGGATGATGGCTGGGAAGATCAGGAGGAGGAAGACAAAGGATGGGTTATCGTGGGAGCCTCTGGGGGCGCTCTTTGGACCTCCTTGGAGCTTCCTAGGAGCCTCTCGGAGGCATGTTGGGGGCCTCCTTGAAGCCTCTTGGGGGCCCTCTTTTGGCCGTCGTAGGGCATTCCTGGCCCGTCTGACGGGGGTTGAGCTGCATGCGGACCGAGCACCCTACTGGGCCACGAGACGTGTGAGGGGTGCGCCGAAATGGAGGTGAAACTGCATGCGGACCCTGCCACTGGGGCCTTCGGCGGAGCACCCCATGGGGCCACGAAACGTATGCGGGGTGCGCAAAATTGGGGCTGGAATTGGCCGACCCCGCCACTAGGGGGGGGGGAGGAGGAGATCTCGCGGGAGGCTCTTGTGGCATTCTTGCGGCCTCCCAAGTTAGTCTTGGGGGCCTTCATTGAGGCCCCTTGGGGGCGTCTTTGGCCTTCTTGGTGGCCTCTGAAGGCTCCTTGGGAGGCTCTTTGGCTGTCCCTGGCCCGTCTGATGGCATCGGAAGCAGTATTGAGAGCGTCTTTGGGTGGGCGTGGGGCCCTCTTCGGAAGCCCCTGTGCCGCTAGGAGGCCATCTTTGGAGTCTTGGACGCATCTTGGGCCGTCTCGGGGCCCTCCTGGGGCCGTCTTGGGGGCCTATTGGGCAGTGTTGCGGGCATCTTTGAGGCCCTTTGGGCGCGTTTGGAGCGATCTTGAGGACTTATTTGGAAGTCTTGCGCCGTGGACAGGCCGAAACGAAGCAAATGTCAAAGCTTGTCAAAACATGGGTCATCATTGATTATGGCCTCTTCGGGACTTCCCCTGGGGAACGTCTTGACGGCCTCTTGGGCCGCATTGCAGGCCTTGGAGAGGCCTTCTGGGCCGCCTTGGGCCATCTTGATGCCGTCTTAGGTGCATCTTCTGCCGTACTGGCGACAGTGTGCGGACATCTTGGGCTATCTTGAAACAATACTTGCTGTCTTGGAGGCCAGTTTAGCCATCTTGGAAACCATCTCGAGGCCATCTGAATCGGGAGCGCCGATGGGATACATCTTTTTCCGGATGGTTGGCGGGTTGGGTCGAGACCCAAAGTGGGAACCTCTAAAAGAACCATGACCACTCAGAAGTTCAGCGCGCCTACGGCGATGTACCGCGCCCCCCCTTTCGGAAACGCCAATGCGGCCAAACATCGGGACGAAGGCTGGCCAAGCCAATGGACTAACGTCATGGGTTCCCCCAGCGGTTGTGGAAACACTTGGGGGAACAGTTGGGAGAGGGAGAAATAGGAGGAGGAGAAGGAGGAGGAGGAGGAGGAGGAAGAGAGGAGGAGAGGGAGGAGAAGGAACACAAGGGATACGATGCGGCCCTGGAGCGATTTCGTCCACAGCGACCGAGCCCTCGCCGGAGATCTCCGTCTGCAACGGAGGAGGAGGAGGAGGAGGAGGAGGAGGAGGAGGAGGAGGAGGAGGAGGAGGATGGGAAGGGAGGAAGAGGAGCAGGAGGCAGGGGACAGGACGGAACGTGGCGTAGAAGCATGGGGGCATTTGGGCATTCTCCGGAGACCTGCGGATCTGTCGAGTGCTACCCTCGACCTCAGATCCACGGACCGTCTGCATTCGAGTGACATTGCTGCACTCCGCCGCGGGACCGAGGGGAGCAGGTACCAAAGCCCATAGCCCACCGGGTGTCGAGGAGCAGGAGGGTGAGAAGGAAGGGGAGGATGAGGGGAAAGGAGATGAGGAGGAGGGCGAGGGAGGAGGAGGGAGGGAGGAGGAGGAGGAGGAGGAGGAGGAGGAGGGAGGAGGAGGAGGAGGAGGACCAGGACCAGCACCAGGACCAGCACAGGGGACACATTCTCGCTCGGCTCCCCGTGAGCTGTTTGGCCGTCCTGGCCCTCCCCGATCCACGTCGTCCCATCCTATGCTGAGACGCAGCTGTCCACAAGGCGAGGGAGGGAGGAAGGTGGCGAACAGGGCGAAGGGGGGGCCTTCGAGCAAGAAGAAGCAGCGGCATAAGCATAAACTTTCGGAGCTCGGCGCTGGATTTCTTGTATCGGCGCTCCTCGGGCGCCGCCCCTGCGCGCTCCGCGCGCCTGTGGGGCTGGGGCCCAGCGCCGATCCAAGATATCTGCTGTTTCTCCATCCGTAGCCATTTTGGCTCAAGCTGTTTCTGCTTCAGGCGTTGTCGTGTCGGTCGGCGTGTGCACATCGTTTGCTTGCGTAGTACCGGATCACTCAAGGAATCTAGCCAATAATACATCGAATAAACCTACGTTGCCGGATGTTCGAGCGAGTTTTTTGGATCGGCGTTGGGTTCGTTCGTCGGCGCCTCCAGCGCCGCCCACAGCGTGCGCCAGCGGGAGGGGTTTCAGCACCGATCCAAGAAGTTTGTGCTGACCTCCGAAAGTCCCTTCTTCTTCTAAATAAGCAGGCCATGCTCATAGCTGCGATTTGCCTCTTGCATCTTGTTCAGGCTGCTGCCTTGAAGCTCGACGATCGCCCGCGTAGCTTGCCCGTCATCCTCGTTCACATTCACAAGGGGTTCGGAAGTTGGGCATGCCAGCAGGCTGCTTTTTCGAATGGTGAGTCGGTGGTTGCACCCGCCGACAACTGCAATTGGATACCACATGATACACACTCTCGTTCGATTGAAGGCCACACGGTAGCCAACACAATCGCTGAGCTTCGCGTGAAGCATATGACATCGGGTGGGTTCACTTTTGGAATGATCGAACGGCCTTTGTGGGCTGAAGACTACCGATGGACTCATTTCCATTATGCCGTTTTGATGCGGCACCCGCTCAAAGAAATGGATTCAAACTTGAATTACGAGATTGCACGCGATGATTTTAAAGATGCGTGGTGGAGCCTTTCAAGCCTGAAGAGGGCGCTTGGCTTGGACCCAGATTCTAAAGGCGACGATTGGCTTGACCTCCTTTTATCTATGATCCAGCATCGGAAGCAAGGACGCCTACTCAATAACTACGGGTGGAGCTCGTGGAAGGCTCTCGACAACTTTAAGATTCGCGTGCTTGTGGCGGAGGCGTGGACGTTACCACCTGGAGGTGTAAATCGCACCCACCTCGAAATGGCAGTCGAGCGGTTGAACAAGTTCTACGCCGTAGGTGCAGCCGACGAAGATGATGTCATCGATGCCAACTGCCAGTTGTTTGACAGGCTGAGGTGGACCAATGTTAGCGCATCCCTAAAGGTCAACACGGCCCCACTCGCGAAGCTCAACCTGACTAGAGGGCGAGAAGAAGTGCTTCGCAGGCTGAACGCGCTCGATTTCGAGCTCTACGAGCATGCCAGAGCCCTCGCCGAGGAGGGGCAAGGGCCCGCTCGGAGCAGACCCAGGCGCTTTCTGCACCTCGTCGAGTGACCCTGAGCGCTCGGCGGCTCGCAAGAGTACGGCTGTGCGGGGTGGGGCGACCTTCTGCTGAAAAAAAGAAGATATCCGCTGTTTCTCCAACCTATTTGCTGTTTACGCGTGCTTGTCCTTCTTGAAGAAGGCGAGGAGGGGGGCCTCGCGTGGCTGCAAAGCGGGAGAAGGCTGGGTCGAGGTTCGGGCCATTTGGCAGTGTTCGTCGTTTCCCAGCGTCTTTCCTAGCTTGAGGAGGCCTTCCAGCGGCTGCGACTCGCCGAGGTCATTCCGCTGGTGTGTGGATCGTCCCGAACGGCCGCCGCAGACCCGAGTTGCGGCCCCAAAGCCGAGGATACTTGATTTCCTGCGTCGTGAGGAATTCGCGGCGGCTTATTGTCTGTTTGTGTTACGGTGGGGGCGTTGGTTGGCTAAGGAATGCGCCCAGGACACTGCTGACCCTGGAGGGTTCCTTGTCTGATGAGGGGGGGGGGGGTGATATCCACGGCCAAACTTCGATGGGAGTTCCACCGTTACCCAGACCCTGGATTCCTGATCTAAGGGTTTCTTATCCAATGTCCCCACCGCGTTCACTGTGCATTTATGATTTATCTATGTACACATAGATATACACATATATATATATACATATATGTATATATATATATATATATATATATATATGTATGTACACATGCGTGTATGGATTACGGCTTCAGGGGCCCTCCCCGCATAAAGCCCTCGGACTGCCAACAAAACTATGCAGGATGAGCAGCTGGCCCCTGGGAAGAGGATCCAGACCAGTCGGAAGCCCCTTTGCGACCCACAGCGGCATTCTGCCCCTGTGGGCGACGGAGGAGGAGGAGGAGGAGGAGGAGGAGGAGGAGGAGGAGGAGGAGGAGGGGGAGGGGAACTTTGCCAGGGGGAGGAAGGCAGGGGAGGAAGAAGAGGTGCGGATGCCGAGAAGGCGGGGAATTGGGATGCGGAGGTGGAGTTGTATGATGATGATGATGATGATGATGATGATGATGCTGATGATGATGATGATGATGATGATGATGACGATGATGATGATGATGATGATGATGCTGATGCTGATGCTGATGCTGATGCTGATGCTGATGCTGATGCTGATGATGATGATGATGATGATGATGATGATGCTGCTGATGATGGGTGGAGGAGGAGGAGATGGAGATGGAGGAGGAGGAGGAGGAGGAGGAGGCGGGGACGGGGGAGGAGGAGGGGGGGGGCAGGTCAGGTGGAGGAGACAGAGGTGCGTATGAATTGGTGGCCGCTGCATGTGTGAAGCACATCCCGAGCAGAGCAACCCGCACCACGACCACGAGAACGTTGACGACAACAATGGCGCCGACGGAGACGGAGCGCGCTTACGAGGAGGGTGCAAGATGAAGCTGATGATACTGATGATGATGATGATGATGATGATGATGATGATGATGATGATGTTGATGCTGATGCTGATGCTGATGCTGATGCTGATGCTGATGCTGATGCTGATGATGATGCGGATTATGATGATGCTGCTGATGTTGATGCTGATGCCGATACTGATGGTGATGTTGATGCTGCTGGTGATGATCATGAGGAGGAGGAGGAGGAGGCTGGGGAAGGTGATGGTGAGGAGGGAGACGGCGAAGTAGGAGAAGCTGAAGGGAGCGAAGGAGAAGGATAACGATGTATGGGCAGAAGCATTTCCTAACAAACATGCCCCGCCTGCGGGTCCCCAGGCCAAGGTGCCCTCGCACATCGTGCGGAGCCCCAGCCCCCCGCGCCGCGGCCAGAAGCGGCCTCCGGGACACGACGACCTGCCCCTGCACGCGTCTCCTGCTCAGCGCCGCCTTCCCAGAGTGAATTTGTCCGACATCGGAGACGCTTGTCCCAGGGCGGCTGGCAAGCTTTCTTGCATCGTCCGTCGTCCGCAAGGAAAAGTTCGCCCGAACGCGATTCAAGTGTCGAAGGACCTTTGGCGAATCACCGCCGCCCCCCCCTACCCCAATGTGCTCGCTCGGCTGCGGTTGACGTCTGATTATCTGGATTGTTGCCCGAGGGACAGGGGATGGAAGGGCAGAGATCGTTGGACGAGAACGGGGGACAAGGGACGGGGCGCGATATATCGGGATGGATGGAAAACGAGGGCCGAGGGACGAGGGCGGAGGAGGTATCAATGAATCAATGAGGGAATCGGGGGTCCGTCGCCATTTTGGCTCAAGCCATTTTGGTTCAAGTTGCCATCAAGACAAGGCAGCTGGCCAGGACAGCCTTTGCTTTTTGGGTAGGCAGGCATCACGGCCTCGCCCACTGTGCGCTTGTGTGAGCTCCTGCGGGAGCAATCTCGTTTCATGTTTTCTGCCCATGAGTTCTAGGGATGTTCTCTTGGGCCCAGAAGCCGCTGTGGCATGCACAGTTCAGGGAACTGGACATCGAGGGTCAAGTGTGCGTGCGGATCGGCGGCGCTTCAGTCAGTGCAGAACCGGCCAAAGCAGCACATGAGAAGATCTGTTCGCCAAGTGCCAGCGGAGGCAAAGCGCCCAAGGGGAAGTAGAGTGCGGGTGCGCCGCCAGCTCTCGACTCCACGCTCAAGAAGATGCTCTGCCGCCTTGATGGGCTCGGGAAGCCCACCTCTGCCCCGTCATCCCCGCCGCCATGGAGGATGGAGACGGAGTCAGCAGCGTCGCCCAGCAATGAGCAGAAGGATGCTAAGGATCGCTTGGCGTACTGGCAGAAGGCTGCGACGGTTACCGCTCGCCAGGAGGACAAAATTGTGGCGGAGGAGCAGGTGGCCAACCCCCAGAAGGTAATCAACGATGCAAAGCCCCTCCACATTCAGCAGCACAGCATCGCGACCAGGTCGGAGCGGGCGCGCGAGATCGCACCCTGACCCAGCTCGAGACAGTCAAGCAGGAGGTCGAGGAGGCGCGCAAGCTACTCGAGACTCGGCTCGCCAATGCATAGCACGCACTGGAGGAGGCGAGGCGTCAGGTCGCAGACCTTCAGCAGGAGGCCAAAGAGAGCTTTGCCAAATCGGTGGCGTGCGCTGATGGTCCCGCTCCCCGGTTGGAGGAGCAGCAGATGGCCGCGGCCTGGGGTGAGTTCAAGGCATGGCTCCGCTCTCAGAAGGGCGACGAGACGGCTAGCAAGCACCTCCAGATTCTTCAGCGCGTTGGAGGCCCAAGTGGCGGCTGCCCGCAATAGCTCTTCTCCTCCTCCTGATGTGCCCGCAGATGATGGGGACATGGGCCTCAACGAAGATGAAGAGCAGCTATTTGAAAGCGCCACCGAACAGATCCGACAAGCAAAAGAGCGAGCGGCTCAGGCATAAGATGAAGCAGCTGAAGCAGCAAGAGCAGCTCTCAAAGAAGCCAGTAAGCTGTTGCAGTCTCAGATCCAGGCTGCAGCAGCAAAACGTCAGAGGCGGCGGCAGCCTCGCTCCAAAGCTCATCAGGCACACAGTAGATACGGCCCACAAGATTGGCGCGATAGACGATCTAGGCCACGGGCCAGTGTTAGGCCGAGTTGATGTTGCACGCCCATGCGTGGGGGAGGCCTCAGTCTGCATGGCATACAAGCATATCGATTGTGAATGGCCTGATGTTGGCTTTCTGACCCCTGCGCTGCGTCCTGAGTTGCAGTTCCAGGGCGCCGTTCGACCCTCAGCACGCGAATGCGACGTTCGTTTGCGCCGCGGGCCCGGGGCGTTCTGTGCCCAAGGGTACTGGGTCTTCCTTGGCGGCAGGGGTCGCATTCTTGGCTTCTGAGGCGGTGGAGAACCAACCCACAGTGGCAGCGGCGCCCGCGAGACTTGGGCGTGTCTGAGCTCTTGAATCCGTGGGAATTCCCCCACTGCAAGGAATCGCTGGAGGAGCCTCGCAACGCCCCACATGATGAAGATCAACGGTCTGCGGTTCGTGGAGGTGGCCCTGATCGGCTTCGGTCAGTTCCCGGATGGAGCCGCAGCTTGTCCAGCCTACGTCCGAAGGGGTGCACAGGCTACGGCCGCTGTCGAACAGGCGCATGACTCAGGCTGCGCGACGACGCTTGGCCGGGGGGGGGGGGCGGCCACCCCGGCCCCAGCGCCCTCGCCTACCTTTGCTCCTTGGTCAGCATCTTCGGCTGCGCCCAGATCTCGTTCCAGGATTAGGAGGGATAAATATCAAAATGGGGACTCTTCTCTTGTAGTGCCCATTGCTGGAGCTCCTGGGACACCGTCCTGGAGTGGAGAATAGGCAAAGACTTTGATGGGCCCAAGCCCCAGTTCTGTGTAGGGCAAGAGACCCGATTTGTGGATCCTGACACCATTGCCAAGTGCGTCGGGACTCTGAGGGCCTGGGGTATATCAGCTGACTTCTGCCCAGCGTTTCAGACGGGAGGCCGCGCGCTGGTTAATTATGCAGGCGCCCTGGCAGTAGGCCCCGCCACATCAACCAGCTCACGATCCAGGCCCAGGAGATCAGCAAGCTACCTGAGGCCTCTGGGAGATTCTGCGCGCGTCACGTTCAAGCCGTGATGCGAACATGGGCCCGAAGTGCGGCGGACTCAGAGACTGGTGCTCCCGCGTTGGGGCTGCGGCGGGGGCTGCAGACGAGGCCGCGTGTTCGTCCGGTTCAGGCTCTAATTTGGACGTTTGTATTATGTCGCAGGGCTCGTCGTCCTGCGTCGACAGAATTTGCGTGCTGCTTGATGCCCCGATCTCGCCTCGCTCATATGTCGAGCTCTGGTTGCAGGGGGTCTCGCTGGCCACCCCCATCCACCTGAGATGCGCTTAGAAGAGGTTCCCCACCAAGATGCCGGCCGGATGCTTCGAGCCCCTGGAGACAGAAGCTGGTCCTGTGATGCATGGATTGCCGACGAGTTAGACTTCGGTAAGTCTTGGGACCAATGGGCGGGCAACTCGGATCCCGAGCTTCGCAGGGCTGTCGGCTCACATGGGGAATACAGAGAAAGGTGTGCTGGGAGGGCTGCTGGGTTTAGCAGGCGTACTCTGGCGTTGGAGGCTGCTCGGAGGTTGGAGTAGTTCTATTACTCTACTCCGCAACTGCGTGCCTGGCGCCCCCTCGCGGCGCTGTCGAACAAGGCATTCCCGAGTGTTGTGTTTGGCACCGACGCACCACTTTGGACGGGAGTGCGAGGTGGATTGCTTAGGCTAGACGAGTCTTCTTTGCAGCCTCGGTTTCCTGTGACTGCCCCCTCTCTCCGCGGACATGATGGGAGCCACCGTTGCCGCCGATGGTTGTGAGATCGGCCACCTCCTCCCCGCCGCTCTCTCCACCCGCGACCATTTGGCCGCCGAGGCTTCGCGCGCTCGCTGGTCTAAGTGGAAGGAGTGGGCGAAGGGGGCGACCGCTCAGGGAGGCAAGGCTGCCCGCGCCTTCTCCAGGGACAAGGATATCGCGATAGGTCCGTTGGCCAAGGCGGGCTGGAAACTCCAGGGAGGCTTTGCTGTCGAGGCGGCCCTCGATGAGTGGAGCAAGTGTTGGCAGCACCGCCGCTTGGGCCTCGCGGAGGCCGGGGTCGCAAAAGCTCGCGCCTCGACGGAGCTCCCGGGACCTGTCAGATGGGCCTTGGGGGAGTTCATACACGAAAGTGGCCTCGGGGTGGACTGCTGGAATCCGCGTTCCTGGCCATGCTTGCCTGGAGGTTATATCGATCGCCTCAGCGACGCCATGATGGCTTGGGAGAGGGGCCGCATCAAGTTGCCCTTTGGGTACCCCGCGGCGATGGTCTTCCAGGGAAAGCCAGAGGGTGATGGTTTGCGCCCGCTTGCTCTGATCCTTTCCCTGTTCCGTGTTCAGGGTAGGGTGAGACACGGGATCGCGCGTTCCTGGGAAATGGGCCACCGCCCGCCATTCTCCCGGGGTTCCAGAGACAAGGGGCGCGACAGGGCAGGCTGGCAGCATGCGATGCTCAACGGATGCGCCCGCCTGGGGGGTTTCGAGCTATCCTCTCGTTGCGCAGATCTTGAGAAGTTCCGAGAGCTAGTGGCACCAGGCAGCCTTTTCGACGAAGCCGGGATAAGTGGATTCCACCTCGGCCTCACCTGCTCTGCCATATGTTTGTCCGCTGGGCCGCGAGTGCTCACTCCTGCTGGTCCATGTTCTGATATTTGCACGGTCGCGGGCGCGATCCTCGCCGGCTGCAGCCAGGCAGCGAGGTTCGCGAAGGTACTCTTGCACAGAGTATTGCGCGGACTGCCCACGGCGTTTCCCTCTTTGCACATCCGCAACGTCGTGGATGACGCTTCGTTGCAGATGCTAGGCGCGGCCAAATAATTTGTCGAGGATTTGGGTGCCGCAGGTTGGGCGCTCAAGAAGGATTTCCACGAGCTGGAGCTTCAAGTGTCTGGGAAGAAAACCCACTTCATCGCGTCCTGCAAGGAGGTCTCCGAGGGCCTCTCCAAGGCGCGGCGGGCCCCTGTAAGGTCACGTTGAGGTCCCTGGGCGACATCGGGACCAGAGGAACCCGACGGCGCCCAGGAGGCTCAAGAAGGCTGGACGTCGTGCTCGCAAGCGTGGGAGGTAATAGCCCGCTGGGGCCAACATAGCCGGGACGCGCAGGGCTGGTCCCCAGGCTTGCGCTCGGTGGGGTACCGCCGTGGCTGGACTCACTCGGCGACAGGCGCATGCTTTTCGCGACGCTGCCTGTATGGGCCTCTCCAAGAGCAAAGCTGGAGCGGTGACTTCTCTTCGATTGAGATCCTATGGCGCCAGAGTCAAGATGGACCCCTTGCACGTTCTATCATGGCAACGTCGTGCACCAATGGGCTAGAGCTGTTAAGGATGCCCCCCCTCGCTGGACGCGGTCCAAACAGTGTCCCAATCGGCT